GGGGGTAGGTTGGAGGGTGGAGTAATAACGATCAGTGCAAACAGGAAAACAGAAGACTGCAAAGTGCGTGGTACACGATCGAGGCTCATGCAATCTGTGGTAAGATCGCACGGTACCTCTGTCTCACTGTTGTTGGAACAAATCTCCCTGCCGAAGATCACAGCGATAAGGCCAGACCTGTATATGTCACGACGTGGTGGAATCAGGCGCTCGTCAAGTTTTGGGCATGGTATGGGGTTATTGGTACTATCTTAAAGCCTGTTTATTTGCCTTGCATTTGGTGAAAAGTATTCATTTATGTTGAATAGAAGTCGAAACATTTGCGATTGAATGAGTTAGGGTCACCTGGTTTCAGATATATAATTAGCGAGAAAATAACCGCCACAGTTTGTAACTTCCATAGCCCGAAAGTCTTTGGAACTGAAAATTTACATTTTTGTTTCTTTGATCAACGATTTTCAGTAAAATCCAAGCACAAATATGTGTTTTTAAAAGGACATAAAAGGTGTTGAGCCAAAAAAAAGAAAATTAGAAAAAAAATGCCCATCGACAAATGAAAATGTCTATTTATTTGATTTCATTGTTTTGACCAGCGCTTGATTTCACCACGTTGCATCACATATTAAAACCTCTTTTGGCCGGGCAGACAGCAATGTGTTTCAGAAGTTGGAGCACTAGGGACTGGAAAAACGAAACTTTATAAGAGGCATCGTGGTGAAATCAGGCGCTCGTCAAAATGAAACAATCGAAGAAACTGGCATATTTTTCTGCCCGATTGGCAATTTCTATCCGATTTTTATTTTTTGAATCAACGCCTTTCAGATCCTTCAAAGCACATTTCTGTGTGAATTTTACTGAAAAACGTTGAATTAAGGTACAAAAAATATACATTTGTAGTTTCCAAAGACTCTCAAGTTTTGGAAGTTTGGTGGCCATTTTCTCCGTAATTTTGTCTCTGAAACCAGGCAACCCACCTCCTTCAATCGCAAATATTTCGACTTTTATTCATGATAGTTCAGTATTTTTATCACCAAAAGCAAGACAAATAAACTTTTAGATGACACACCAATAACTCCACATGTCCAAAAAATTGACGGGAGCCTGATTCCACCGCGTCTTGACACATGACATCAAAGGGTCTATTTTACTCTCAAGCCAATTCTAAATACATTATGTGTACATTCCAACGGCTACCTGTATAAGGCAATCACCTGTACTAACAGCCATGCCTTCCCATTTCTTCCCCTTGTGTTTTTAAAACAAACATTATATTGACCCTCGCGGGTGGTTGGCGGGTGCTCTGGTGCGATTTGCTCCTTTTTTCCTATCAAACACCTGTCGTCTTATTTCTCCTCCTTTTTTGTGTTTGTAACACTTGTAACACTCTTGTAACAATTCTAATATTCGGCAATTATGTCACCTTATTGTGTTGCAAGTGCCGTAAACCTCTTACTAAATATTAACTATTGACACTGTGTAATGCGCTCACCTGTCTATAACGGCCACTTTTCTCCTGGACAATGAGTGACTGTCCTAGACAACTTGGACTGTAGTTCAACAAAAGTAATAGAGAGCGCAAATTCTCGCTTAACAGCAAGCTCTATGCGCTTCACAATCTGTACTACGAGTATTACCCCAGCAGACATGAGAGCATTCTGAAACAATCTCAACTTCCTTGGAAGTATACAGTAGTGGAGATATATGGGAGGCCAATATCTCGGCGATCCCCGGGAAGATTTCTGCTCAGCTTACACTGAACAAATATCTTTACTATAATGCATTTTAAAAATCTTTTTTTTTTTTCAAGTTTGTACGTATTCTCAAGTTTGTTAAACTTAAACTCTCACTTTCTCAAAATTATATCTTTATATCCTACCTCGCAAAAATATGCAATAAAAAAAAAAACCCAGCAAAAAAACCCACTAGAGATTATATTTAAAAAATTCAAAGACCACGGTGTCCAGCATTGAATTTCCTGTAAGGTACAACCAGAGAGGGATTACAGTAATAGTAATATTACTGTAAACTCTCTGGTGCAACCCTTAACTCAAAATTGTCCAAATCCGACTTTTGGTACCTTTCTTCAGGAGCACACACAATTAGACCTACTGTTTGTACTGTCACAGTTGTCCGAGACGCCAGCATCAAAAAGTCGTTGTCTTAGACTGATGGGCGTCTTCGACAGTGTTAGTATATTATTAACAATATGTGTCACGACGTGGTGGAATCAGGCTCTGGTCAATTTTTGGACTTGAAGAGTTATTGGTTTCATCTTAAAGCTTGTTCATTTGTCTTGCTTTGGATGAAAAAAAATTTATTTATCTTGAATTTAAATTGAGATATTTGCAAATAAATGAAGGTGGGGGTTACCTGGTTTCAGAGGTAAAATTAGTGAGAAAATAGTAGCCAAATATGAGCTATTTCCTTACCTTGAGAGTCCGTGGAAAATGAAAAATTACATTTTGTCTGCCTTTAATCAACTCCTTTGAGTAGAATACGCAGAGAAATGGCGTTGAGCCAGAAAAACAGAAATTCAATAAAAATTCACAAACCTGCAGAAAAATGACAGTTTTTTCCTCTTTGATTATTTTGACGAGCGCCTGATTTCACCACGATGAATATAGGAAAAAAATCAACAAAGGGTGGATTGGAAAGGGGGGGGGGGGGCGGTTGTCGTCTTTATATGTACAATTTAGAAAATCCACAAAAAGGGGGGGGGGGGGGGGGGGGGGGGGGGCAGCGGACGTTTGTACAGGTGATTCCTTCAAAACGTGCCTTCACGCAGTGGAGAAAGTGGCAGGAAATGTTGGTTTAACCTTAATGGGCTTTGATGGACTCACCGTTACTTTTGTTGTTTCTACTGATGTTGCTGTTGTTTCTATCGATTTACCTGTTTCTATTGCTGTTGCTGTTGTTTCTATCGATTTACCTGTTTCTATTGCTGTTGCTGTTGTTGTTGCAGTTTCTATTGATGTTGTTCCTGCTGTTCCTATGGATCTTGCTGTTTCTGTGAAGATGCTGCTGTTTCTATCGATGTTGTTGTTTCTAATCATGTTGTTATTGTATTTCATATAACTGCTGTAAATGCCATGATTTATTCGTAGCCTGCAGAGAATAGAATATTGCATTTGCTCAATACTAGCCCGCTTACTGGCTGGCATATCAATAATGTATAAAGCAACCTTTTTGCAATCGAATTACGGCTAACAAGGGAGGTAAATGGGGATTTATTTTTGTTTTTTGAACTCTTAGAAAGTTATGTATGCTCTCCCTTCATTCTCCTGAAACTGGAGGATAGTCGGATTTTCTTCTATTAAAAAAAACCAAAAACAAAACTCATTGCTGACGGGGTAATCCACCCATTCAACAACGCCTGAAACTGCGCTATGTGTGGTTGGTGGGTGCACTGATGTGGTTTTCTTTGTCTTTCCTATCAAACATTGTTCGTCCTTATCTCTCTTCCTACACTCCTGTATAGTATTATTTTTCCTTGGTAATTTTAAAAAGGCAGGCAAGAACAATATGCATGCTGTTCTTCTTTTTTTTTGGTAAGTGTTTTACGGCGCTCGCAACTGCAAACGGTCGTTCAGTTAGTAAGTTGGTAGGAAATTTAGGATTTTGCGCGGGTGGCGGCCGAAGTATACTCTTATCGGTTTTGGACAACCAGGGTATCTTTAACTTGCACAACTTGCACGGGACCTCAGAGATTTTTCGCTTTCATCCGAGAAGACTAGGTGTTAAGATCTTATTTAGCATAAGATCAAGGGTGTGGCTGAAAGACAGCAGTAAGAAGGAGTCAAGGAGTAGCAGAAGAAAGGCTGCAGAAAGAGCCAGGGGCTCAGAGGAGGGGACAAAGGAGGCGAGGGTGTAAACACGCAGAGCTTGCTGTGGAGCGGGGATATGCGCCATGCTAAATGCTATTTATTATGACTACTGTCGTCTATTTAGTAGTTCAATATGACACCAACTGAGGGGACATCACTATAGTTAGTGCAGAATCTGGATCAGTCAGCCAATTGTTAGAACAGTGGGGGCTCCAGTGGCTAAGTGAGTAGAGAATTTAGACTAAAGTAATATCAAGCAAGTGTCGATGACACTTGGATCAGATGGGTGGTTACCGGGGTGTGTCCTTGAGCAAGACACGACTACCCTTGCTCAAAATACATGGCGCTGCACAGTGGCGACCGACAAAGGCATGATTGTAAAATGCTCTGTACTTGTGTAATATTGTGCATTTATTTTTGTATTTATTCATGTATTTATGTATGTACGTAATCATAGTTATGTATTTACGTATGTAAATGTATGTTTGCCATTGTAAACCAAAGTGCTTTTCCGGGACAAATACAAGTGTGATTTATTGTTTTTTTTCATAACTTGATCCTCCCACAATCTTCTTCTGGATAGCAGAGAAGTCCCCACAAACCTCCAACTTTTCAGATCCGATTATATTTTAATTGATATAAACGCCGCTCTACCCCCCCCCCCCCCCCCCCCACACACACACGTTCGTTGTTTACAACTGAGAACGCACAATAACTCATCGATAATTACCATTACTGAGAGTGTAACACAAATTAAGACTTCTTTTGACCCCGTGAGACAACAACAACGACAACAACAACAATACACAAACAAACGAACAACAAACAAACAAACAAACCAACAACAAAAAAAAAAACAAACAAACAAATAAACAAACAAGCCTTTGCTTTGTTTTCGTCCAATACATTTAATGTTCAGCATATGTACAGTCAGCAACTAGGTATGTACAGGGATGTATGTACACAGATGTACAGAGCGCAGTCCTTACGTACGGCTGTTTCAGTCAGAGGTCAGAGGTCACAGGGGCGGTAACTCGGGGGGAAATTGTAGGGGAGGCAATCAGTCATTCATTCATTGGTCCGGTGTCAGTCATCTGGGGTTTTTTTTTGTGGAAGAGAAAGTGTTTACAAAAAATAACAAAACAAAATGGTTCGATCTAAAGGTGCAGTTGTAGCATATTACTTATGAAACATGATTTGCATAGAAAATAAAGACCCCCCCCAACCCCCCCCCCCCAAAAAAAAAACAAAAAAAAAACAACCAACAACAACAACAAACAAACAAAAAAACAACAACAACCGGTAAGTGCAAGATCTATATAAGTAGGTGAAATGTATTATCATTATCTTTAATCCTCATCAGTACTGTTGTTGTTGTTGTTATCATCACCATCATCATCATCATTATTATTATTGTTATTATCATTATTATCATTATTATCATATATTATTATTATTATTGTTATCATATATTATTATTATTATTATTATTATTTTTTATTTATTTTATTATTATTAAATTGTGTCGATGTCTCACAACAGTGAATAATTAGATCTATATACACATATTTTTTTCTTTAGTTGTTTTTTTTTTTTAATTTCGTAATTTTGCACGCCCACCCCCCACCCCCAGGTACATTTCAAGTTATTTCTTTACCTCAGCATTCCACTTCGTCGGCATGGTTACAGAGTCCTAGGTTGGGGTCAAACTTGGTGCCAGTGGGACACGTCATCACGTGGGGAGGGTAATCCAGCCAATCACCGCGCAGACAGATGACGAACCGGTGACAGTCGTGCGGGTCAGCGAACGTTCCAGCGCCCAGACTTCTACAGTTGACGGCACTGGCGGCTGGGGGTGGGGGAGGGTGGGGTGGTGGTGTAAGTGGTGCGGGTTGAGGGCAGGGTGAAGGGAGGGAAGGGAAGAGTGAGGGGCACAGGAGGGGGAGGGGTGAGACAGATCGTGGGAAAGGAGCAGGGTATAGGGTGGTGATGGAGGGGGTGGGAGGGACAGGGTCAGAGGGGGGGGGGCAAAGTAGGCGATGGGGAAGGGGCGGTGGGGTAAAAAACAACACAATGTAAAATACAATCAAGGCGGTAGATTTTGAGGAGGGGGGAATTAGGATAGAAAACATAATATTGTTAACGTCAAATCTGAAGTTAAAATGTGGAGTGTAGTTTGAGAAATCAATTTCCAAGTTTTGGGGTCAAACCTTAGTATTGTGCTAAAATGACAGCTTTAGCCCCATCCGTGAAGGAAAATCTGGTTAGCCCTGAGCCAATCCGCAGAATCCTGTGTAATGTGCATGAGGCTGTTTCTATCTCTCTTCACAGTCCGTGTGTTTGTTATATAAGATAAATTCGAAGTAGCAATTTGTAGACTCTACCCATACTTGTGATAGCGCACATCATAATTACACATTTCTTCAGGGATGTATCCTGCAGAGATTGGATTAGACCAGAAAGCCAGGCTTTACTCAGGCTTCCTCTTAAGTGGTGTAAATTAAAGGAGTCCAACAAATAGAGCAGGGCCAAAGTTAATTTGGAGTCATTTCGAGAAAAAAAAACACCTAAACAAACAAACAAACACAAAAACAGCTGGACTTAAGCATGATATACAACCGTGTTTGAATAATTTGTAAAGGCAATAACTCTGATTTATAGCCACACAGTCATTAATTATTCATTCAAAGGCTACGTTATGTAATCTCCCCTGACGTGTGCCATCATAATATACACACAGAGACTTCTCTTCCTTGCAAAGTGTGACATACACTCTTTGTTGTTCTGACTCCTTCAACAAATTGTTTTGAAGAGGACGTAGAGCATTATTGACCAATCACAACTGGAGTCAAACAGTGTGTCTGGAACTATATTTTCTCGTGGATTAACATTAATCAGTACTACTTTTCCATGTTGCAACTTGATAATCCTATTTTCCGTTGAGAATCACTACACCCAATGAGACAGGATGAGAGCATGAGGTTACTAAATCTGATGTAACTGGTTCGATTTGTATGCCTGAGAGAGTTTGGGCATTTCTTTGGTTAAAAAAAAAATAATTTCAGTTATAATAAAACTAATAAATGAAAGACACGCTGTTTGACTGAGGTCGTTTGTAACCGACTTTTACGACATTCAAACCTACCTGCACTAGCCTGAGTGGCGGAGTCGTGGTGCTC